TATTAAAATAAGAAACTTTCAATGTTTTACATAAATGCAGCAAACTATACAAAACTATTAAAAATAACGTAATCAACCTGTATATATATGGGTGAATTGCAAAATTATTGTACCGTTGGATTCTTATATGTAAAAGTTTAGTATCTTGAGTTTTTCTCATTTAATCTTCATAACTTTTTCGAGGTAGAATCCTCTAGTAAGTCTTCACTACCACATAAAAAATCGCGACTTTATCGCGGATAGATCTTGAGATATTAAGACCACAAGGGTAAATAGTCCGACTTTGACTGCCACCTGTTGAAAGAAAATGTCATATAGCTGATTGGTTCTCCTTTCATTTGAACTCCAAAAGTTATAAATATTATAGTTATGAGTGTGTACTTATCGGATATAAAACTGATTAGTTTTTCCATGACATTTGTTATGACACTTTTTTCTGTATATCATATGTACAGTCAACCCTTTAATCGGTGTCACGCGAGGTTTAAAAACGACTTTGGCATGTAACAACACATCGAAAACTAGTCGGATTGGCGTTGAACGAGAGTCATTGGGTAGGACATTAAAATGGGCAAAGACGATGAGAGAGTTGTGCTAGTGTTAGTTACAATATAATATGAAATAAAGATTAAAAACATAATTGCCACACTAAATGTCACGCGAGATTTTTGTTTTCATCTGACGTATAACTCTCTTCAGGTATGGTACTTTGAGCTGAAATTTTGATCATTTTATCAGCTCATTGTGGCCAACTATCACCAAAAACATCAGCGTCAGAAAGTTTGTCTTTCGTGCGAAAATGTCACGCGAGATTATTGTGGGTATAACTACCTCACAACTAAAGCCAAAGTAGATACATAATATATCGCTTGACTTCTATACTTAAAGAGCTATCTACAATCATGTCAATTAATCCTAGCTTGTGTCTCACAGATCAATAAATTCACAAAAAAATGTCACTAATTATATACATTCTCTACCTGACTGCATATTTGCAAAGTTTATCGCTGTATAAGTGTGATAAATACATATAATTTAGAGTAAATTATGCTGTTTCAGCTGCTAATTCTCTGTACTAAACATGGCTCTTCATTTCAAAGGAAAGGCTCAATGTTAAAATCTAAAATACTGTAGGAAAGTCCAACGACAGCGTGCACTATCAATGTTATTAGGCCTTGAATTTATAAACAATATTTAAAAAAAAACTCTCGTATCTTGGCCAATTTGATAGTGATAGTCGGGAAAATTTATTCATATTCTCCTCTCATATAGTACTATAGAATGCGATAATTACCGTGTTCAAAATCGAAAATTTCTTTTCATCGATTTTTTTCACAGAACGGTACAAGAATTTTGCAATTCACCCATATATACGTTGCAGGACAGGTTAAAATGCAGTTCAATTTAAAATTGTCCTAGTTCAGTTGTGAACATTTTCGTCTCAACTAGTTTAAATTGAAATATTTTGAACTGACTTAAGAAAATTGAAACGTGTGCAAACAATTATATTATAGAATGGAAAATAAAAATGTGACTGTTATTGGATAGAATTTTGTACAATTGTAAGTTTGGAATGTACATTAAATTGCAAATAGTATCTATCAGATATTTTCCCTCTCTGTCCTGTTCTCGATGAGGCTTTTTCTTTTCCTGTCACTTCTATCGCTACTAAGAACGGTATTATAAAGAAAAATTTCCCTTTCACACTGTTTCTTGATCTCACCACATCCAAGTTCGCGTTACTACATTCTTTCATCACAGATTCACTACCATCAATAAGCTTCATACAAGTATGTCAAATTTATATCAATTTTAAATCGGTTGATACTTGTAAATGTAATAGCGGCTAAATCACAAATTGACGTCAATACAAGAAGAAAGATCGAAAATGTCGTACAAAGTGTCATGAAGGAGGTGATGTGAAATGTAAAAACTGCTGACTGCTTTTGTTTTTACTACTATCGGCGCCAGAATTCAAGGCAGTCGGTTGCTTTTTGAATAACTTTTGATAAGAACAAGATAGTGATCTGCGGTTTCCAACATTTGATAGCCAAGACCCAAGAGCATATTTTTATAAGCAAACACTTTTCTGAGAAAAAGTCCGAAGTTTGGTTTTCCAGAGGATCTTTGAAAAACCACGCTGGCGTTTTGAAAATTGTCATAGAAGTCGATTTCTTTTTTACATATTCGGAATCAGCATGAAAAACTGCGTCGACTCATATAGTTTTCTAGTCTTTTAACAAAGTTTTTTTTTCGTCGAAAATTTACCTCTGGTCATCCTCAGGACCACATCAATAAATGAATTCACTGAAAAGATGACGAAGAACGAATTTTTCGGCGAAAAAAAAACTTTGTTAAAAGACTAGAAAACTATATGAGTCGACGCAGTTTTTCATGCTGATTCCGAATATGTAAAAAAAGAAATAGACTTCTATGACAATTTTCAAAACGCCAGCGTGGTTTTTCAAAGATCCTCTGGAAAACCAAACTTCGGACTTTTTCTCAGAAAAGTGTTTGCTTATAAAAATATGCTCTTGGGTCTTGGCTATCAAATGTTGAAAACCGCAGATCACTATCTTGTTCTTATCAAAAGTTATTCAAAAAGCAACCGACTGCCTTGAATTCTGGCGCCGATAGTAGTATTCATATTCCTGCAATAAACTAATAGACAAGTTCTATGTGTCCTAATTATCAATTGTGTGTTCATAAAAACTGTTGAACATCTAAAGTCTTCATCCTTAAATTTTAGTTTTTCTTGGATCAGTTCAAAATATATTAAATTGGACTGCATTTTAACCTGTTCTGCGACACAAATATATATATATATATATACTCTCTTTCCTTTTCTTTTCTTTCTTTCTTCTCTTTGCGACGAAGAAACGATTATACGTATCGTTCATATATTCTTGCGTTCCTATATCGTTACACAATATCTGTCACATATCGATTGATATGTCGTCAGTATCATCAAAAGACACTGCCATTGGGCAAGATAAATTATCCTTGTATCCTAATGAAGTAATTGTTTGAACTTTCAAACATTATCCTTGTCCCGTTGAGATATTCCTTTATACACAATTCTAATATTCTTTTTTAGCTCAATATTTGAATATAACCACCTCTTTCTTTCCTTGTATGGAAAAATTACATGTAATAGTAGGAAGGGCAATTGAGACATATATAAGAGTGAGCATATCACATAGATAGAAGACTCTTGGAGAATATTCTTTATGAAAAATATTCTTACATATCATTCTCTTCTCCGAAACCACTTAGTGTCGAGTTATAAATACGGCGTTATAATGTTTCCCTTTCTTCTATTACTTCAACTGTATCTATTGTTATATTTACGTAGTGTGAACATTAATTATCATTATTGTCATATCAATAAAGATTCACTATACAATTTGTATTAGTTTACATTCATTGTTATATTTGTTCATGGTATAATATGATTAAACATTTAATTCATTTAAATGTTGTATATAATATAAATAATTTTAATTTAAACATATAAAAAATGCATTGACTCACAGGGCAACCATAGAAAATATTTTATCATAATGAACACAAAACACTAATCGATCAGCTTATATATATATGAATAAACAATGAGACAATAGTGGTCATTGTTGAAATGATTTTTCCAAGGCGAACTTGATTTTCGAATTTAATTGGAAATTAATATTGGCTTTCCATCCTTTCGAAAAATGACATTTTTCGAAAATCAAATTGAATTTTTGTAAATTAGAATTCAAACATTTTCTAAGTTTTCATAATTTGATTAATGAATTATAAAAGTTTGAAAATCCTGAGGCTTTTTAAAAATCGACTTTCCAATCAATGGGAATTAAAAAATATATATATAGTGTTTTCTATCATTATATGAACTGTATTGCTTGTATTAGATGACAAGTAAAACTTCCGAAGTGGCAAAATACCTTTTTTTGTTTACTTTACAACTAGAACACTGCTATCCAGATTTGATTTTGCAAGTTTTATTTTATTTCTGGTAATAAATGTATGTGCTCTTAAAACTTTTATAAATCTATTCCCGTAAAAGTGATTGTATTATTTATTTTGCTGTAGATTAATATAGTTCTTATCTTTGTGAAAACGAACAGAGCTGAAAATAATCGCGAACATATTTTGTTTAAACTGTCATAGGTCTATCAATAGTACATGCTCGCAGTGGACATTCAGGTGCTACCGGCATGTCAAATACAAAATAGGAACCACAATGAGTGACTTGCACTGTCTTAGCGGCAATGCGTGCACAAGGTATACCAGTTGGGCCGACGTAGCACATGGTTCCAATTGTTGTTGAATACAATATTGAAGGATAAACACCAAAGAGCCAACCTGGACTTCCTCCACCACATAAACGAAGGCCAGACTCTGGAATATGATTAATAATTGCTGTACCTGCTTGATCAACAAAACGTGTCCACCCAGCCGTTTTATTAGTGTCACAAGACCTTCCAATACCAGATCCTTCACGACGAGAGAAATCATCGACACGTTTGTATTTGAAACATTGAATCGGAACTACTATATCATAAATAAAAAAGAAAAATTCTTAACATATATTCTCTGGAAATATCCAGTTACTTTGTTGATATTTTTGAAAACCAAGTGCTGTAAGCATTTCGTTAAATTCATCTTTAACTGTCCACGATGGTGGTTCGAATACAATACTAACTGATCGATTACCATGAATCGACCAACGGCGAAGTTGATGAAGAAAATGTTTAAATAGATCTGGCGGTAAGTCAAGAAAAATATAACCCTTATGATCGCGTGGCCAATGGTTTAAAAACGAAAGTTTTGTGTTTGGCACGTATGTCAGAGTTGAATATGTTGTAGAAATTAATTCCCCAGCAACATTAAGATATATAACTTTGTTGTACTCTGTTCTATTCCAATTAACTTCTGATTCACAAAATCCAACATTGGTGTTTAAAATAACAATTAATGTCTATGCCAGCAAATTTAAAGAAAATGAGATTAAAAGATTAGAAAGATATTTTTGTTACCAAAATCAAGAAGAACATAGATATTATATGTAGACGTTCGGATAAAACAAATAGACAATGCATCTCTATGCTAACACGCAGAATTGTTCCCGAAACTTCCTCTGTATTATTTTTTTTTGTTCTGTTCTTTTAACACTCGATGTGTATGATGAATGATATCTTCTACACATAAGATATACTGTACACACTATTAGTGCAACTTATAACATATGTGAAGGGTAGAAAAAGAAAGATAGTACATTAATGACTGATAAAAAATTTTTTCATCCCCAAGATAATAGGCCGTTGAGAATGCGTAACTAACGTAAGTAACGGGTGTTGCTTGATGTATTCGACAAGAAAAATAGCTCTACAGGAAAAAAAAAGAAATTTGTAAACTAATTCGTCGATTTGCTTACATATCATTTACTATCCCCATTACTAGTTAGGAAGATTTAGTTTCGATTCAGCTAAATGATTCATTAAATGATTGACAATTTGAATAGTAACTTGAGTATCCAATAAGATAATTCAGATTTCATAATGATCGAAATACACAATAGTAAGTTATAAAGTCACTATTATCAGAGAATTGTGTGAAAAGAACGAATGGGTCACACGGTATTTTTCGACCAAGTTTAGAATATCTCTATCACATTGTTCCAACAGACACACCGCTCTTACATGCTACCACTCTTACGTAGTATGATTATTACGTGATATCTTTTATATGTAGTAATCCGCATTATTGTATTGCATGTGTATCTTCGTAACCTTCACCTGGATTATATCTGTATTCTCTCTTTCTTCTTTCCTTTTTGTTCACCTATATAATGGAATGCTCTATGTGTAATCGACACAAACTGGATAATGGAGTAGTAAAGTGAATATCATCATACACCGAACGTAGCGGTAACGCTACTTCACCAGTTTGTCATTGTGATCACAATAAAATAAATGCTGCAGCAGTAACGAAACTGATTATCATCTCGCATTATTTTTCGTTACAACTGGCGACCCTGGCACGACACGAGATCCTCGCAATCTTCTGATTAAAGACCTAGAAGTCACAAATCGACCATGTTAACATTTTATACAAATGTAATATCCAGTGTGAAATATACAGGATGTCCCAAAAGTCCCCAAGAAAAGTTTACGTGAATATCTCTAATACAATTTAAGCGATTCAAGTGCTTCATTTATAATATGATAGTATATTCTTTTAAGTTTTATTTCATATAATTTCGGATAAATGTCTATGTTTACAGACAGTAAGAAACGAATAGTTTTATTAATGCTCAAATTTGAGTTATCTATCATTGTGCAACAAAAAATTCAAGTTGAATTTGGTATACACACGGCAGAAGTAGACTATATTAGGATTGCTTTTCGGCTCTTTTGTGAAACTAGTGCAGTAGCAAATTGGTAACACTCCGAAAAATTATCAAAAATTAAAGAAGAAAAAACCAATGAAGCCCACGATGTTTGTGAAAAAAAGTTCCTATTGAGTATTCGGGCTATTACAACGGCTTCTTTCATATCACCCATGAATTATGACTGACCATCGTCTAATGAGATCGTGCGAGGTATGGTTTGTTTGAAAACTTCGTGAAAAAGATTATCAAGATCGAGTTGAAGTTGTATAACTTTGATAGGATCATTAGAGGACACCAAAAATCAAGAGAATTTAATTTTTACCGATGAAACCACTTTTATTTAAATGTTTTATCGATGAATATAAAGTGAAAACAATGGTGTATACAACAAATATAAAAATCCTAATTGAATTTAAAATGACAATCGATGAATGAGATAAATTTTTTCGAGCATTTCGAAAACGATGGTGTGCCAATAGGCTTGTCACTTTCGAATGACGTTACATCCTTGTATGATGTAATTACTGAAAAGTCGATGTGTGTCATAAATCATATAGTTTATACGATATGGCCTTTTCGTCAACTGTCACTTAATGCTCTCACTTTTTCCTTGTCTCTTCTAAATTATTATATCATGCCCTTTTCCTTATTCTCTCTTTAGTATATAAGTGTGTCAACTGGAACAATGCACTGATAACACTGTATGGTATCATCCTTGTATGATATAATCCTTGGACGACATGATCCTTGTAAGAGGACAATGTTGTAATTTATTATCCTTGCGCAATATAGTTCTTGTGTAAGGTAACCTTCATAATGAAAGAACTCTTCTCCTCGTTCTGATTGTAATTTCTTTCTTATTCTCTCTCTTCCTTATTTTCTCTCCAGTATATAAGCTCGTGTTTTGTGTAAGATAGTTACATTTGTTTGTAGAACATAGTCGAAGAAACATCGTGCCTTAAGGCACTAAAACTATGTCTCTCCATTTGTCATAACGATAGTGGAATGCACTAGTAGCTCATTAACATCAATGCCCAACCAGTGGTAGAGCTGCATCACCATTTTCGTTACAATTTGGTGAACTCTGGCAGAATGATGATTTTGGAGTGGTGTTGGAACATTCGATTGATGATTCGTTACCACTTCTAATTCTGAACGAGGAACAGTAAGAAGTAAGGGTAGAGATGATGATACGTGGAGCTGTGCGAGATGGAGATATGGCATTGTCGAATGATCACAATATTGAAGAGGGCAATATTTGCATAGCGAGAATGTCACAGAACATCAGTGAACGTATTTAAGGGCGGCTAGGGATCAGCCGATTGTGCGTAAGCTCCGGCGCACTTTCCTTTGTAACATCAATACGTTTCATATCTCTTCTCGAATATCTTCATGTGTTCTTCACTTCGGCCATACTCTTTCGTTCTCATTCTTAATCATCACTGAATTCGTGTATCTCTGATCGAAGCCGATCATTATCATTAATATGAACAGCATTGTTTTGATTGATTGACAAATTAAATGCAAAGAAAATGATCACCCAAATACTAATTATTATATATGTAAAACTTCAAAAGTATGAAGAAAATTGTGGTGAATTATTATGAGTTTTTATGAGTTATGATTCAGTATGGTTAGTTTTAATAATTTTTGATGAATTTCGTTAATCTTTGATCAATTTTATGAATTATGATTGATTATGATTAGTCTTAATATGTTTTAATAAACTTTTTATGAGTTATTAATTTTGATAGTAGGGTGTGGGTGTGGGTGTGTTTGACGAAGTGACTTATAGGAAGTCAAATCAAAAGCTAGCAAGACCGGTTTCGATAAGTGCTGATATTATACTTATCAATTGCATTTTTTGATTATAAATTATAAATCTCCTACTGCGAATGCTAAAGTTAGAAGCTTTATGAGCAAAACTTCCAAATAATTAATAATCACATAATTATATTATGAGGTAAATTGTATAAAACTAAGTACCAAATAAATTTTTAAAGAGAGGGTGTGGGTGTGGGGTGTGGATAAATCAAATAGAAACAGATCAATCTATATCCCTTCGATACAAAGCAATCTGCTAGTCTCAACTCTTGCTTTTCAGCAACCAATGAAGTCGTAATTGATTTGAAAAATTGAATATCTGTGCTTTATGAAATAATAAAAAGAGAATGCAGAGTTTAATTTTGCCGATGCGTTTCATGTTTATTTTATTGAAACAATAAAACACTCATCAGGGCTCTGCATTACAAAAACACAAATTTCAAAACTATTCATACATAGTTAGATGCTGATTATAACTTTAACTACGTTTAAGACACAAATATAACAATAATTATAATGAAAGCTACGCAGTGACATGAAAAAACAAAATTAGCAACTAATAAAAAATTCAAATACATAAAAAGTTAATAAAAATACAAACTACATAACTAAGTTTGTTATTGCTGTTGTCGATATATTAGTACGTGTACATGATAGTGAACTTTTAACTAGATAATATCACTTATTTGTCTCTGAAGATATAAATTATATCACTCATTTGTCTCTGAAGATATCGACACGTTTCATATTATTTATTAGAATATTTGTTTTTGAAGATATCATTAAGTATGATATTATCAAATATACTAATATCACTTATTTGTCTATGAAGATATCGTTCAATTGGAAGAATAATTGGTTGATCAATAAATTTTGCTTGATGAAATTAATTAATAACCACCAATTGAAAGAATAATTGATTAATCAATAAATTTTGCTTAATAAAATTCGTTGATAACCACTTCAAGATCAAGTTTGAACCTCGATAATTTATTTTAAATAATAATATTCTGAAGGCACAGGTCACAAACATATTATTGTTATATATTAGTACGTGTACGTGATGGTAAAGTTTTTAACTAAAGACCATTTACATTAATACGAATAAAAACAAAATAAATTTTTAGTATATTGAATAACTCGACGTTTAGTTGACGGGTAATTTCCAGTATATTGAATAACTCGACGTTTAGTTAACGGATGATTTCCAGTATAATGGATAACTCGACGTTTAGTTAAGGGGCAGTTTCCAACGTAGAATATTTAATAATAATTTTTTCAACATACTAAATAACTCAACATTTAATTAACAGATAATTTCGGACATCGATATTTTACAATAAAGACGCCAAATTAACTAAACCATAATGAAAGGTATTAGATAAACAAATAATATATTGCCATTTTCTTAAGAGACGGTCCACGAGTCCATCGAGAATAGTCATACTATCGAAAATTTTGACCCCTATATTTTATGATTGGAAATGAAAGAGCAA